TCCGAGGGTTCACTCATTGGGATCAGCCTCAACAGTTTATTTTATTTTTTTCTTCTCTGACTTTCTTAGAATTCCAGCCTTGTGTCTCCATCATGCTGCTGTTCAGCACCCGCCTCACCCCTCTGCATAGATTTTGGGTTGTTATTCAAAAACTGTATTCAGAGATATTTGTAGAATAAAAACTAAGGTTTAAAAACTTATTTTTTTCCTTATTCTGTTTAAATATGCAAAAAGATAAAAACTTGAACTGGGCTTTGATTTACATTAACACTCAGGATCAACAAAATAAGAAAACATTGCTTTGTACGTGTGTTTTCCTGATCAAATGAACTGAACACAGCTTTGGATGTGCAACCAGCACATGGACTAGAGCTCAAAAGATAAAAAAATGAACCAAACTAAGAACTAAAACTTATTACTCAATCTACCTCGGTCCTTTCCACAAACAAAGAGGATTGCATTTTGTTCTCTCGAGGCTCTCACCACATCTCTGCAGTTTGTGCTCTCCAGGCATCAATAAATGCTTCAGCACAACGAGCAATCCTTCATTTGTGCTTTGGATGCAAAGCAAGGAACACTTCTCATCGTAATCAGGTATACTGGAAGGAAAGTGGAGGTGGTTGAGGCTTTACACTGAAACTCCTTCAGCATCTTCTCATGCTGCTGAGCTGYGTTTCCTCCTCCACTATAAACCTGAAACTGATGTACAGTATAACATATTTGTATGTGTAAATGCCACAGATTGTCGCAAGGTCATAGAATTAATGTAGTGCAGATGTGTTTCTTGTGGCAACAGTACTGGTGTGATCTTCCAGAGYAGTGGTTCCCAAATAGTTTCTGCAGGATTTTCGGCTATAAGATCATTTCCATGCACATTGACACAGATATTTTGTTTTCAAACTTAATTCCAGTTTGTTTTACACCACAACCTTTCTAAAGTAATTAAACAGATAAAAGTAAACAAATAGACCTATTGACAGTCATCCATCAAATACATTATTTTATCAATTGAAAATATTCTATTAAAAATTCTATGATTTGGTTAGCTATAATATGTTACTGTTTATGTATAAGGCTCACAACAACATATTACTTTTTAACATCCAAGTAAATGTTGTTAAGAGAGAGATTTATTATGGAGATGTTTGTGAATCTTTGGTTTCGTACCAGTTTGAAGGAGCTGTCTACTTTAATCCAGTGAATAGGATTGTGGAATGGAGGCTAGGCCCGTCACGATAGTCAATAAATCAATTAATTGCACAATAAATTTTTTTGAGGTCGGTAAAAAAAATGAGGACGATAAGTTTCATTTTCATGCTTGTTTGTTTACTTTGTCTCTCTCCCTCTCTGTGCTCTGCTACACAGGAGCTCAGCTGACTCCTCCCCTCCTGTTTTCTTAGTGTCGGGAGGAGTGAACTCTCACTTTAACGTGAGAGCTCGTAGCAATAACAAACTAAAGAAACGTTTCAAAGCAGAACGTGGCTGCTGCAGTGTCGGAGCACTAGAGCCTGAATTTCGCTGCGGGGAGACACAGAGAGAGGAGGAGAAGGGGTGGGGGCTGAAACTCCCCCAGACCCGCGACAAACTCGTCAAGACTTTACCTGTAGCTCCCAAAAATAACAGGAAACTTAAACGCACCATCTGTGTTTTAACAAAACACCCAGAAAACCTGTAGCTGTCCCAACAACTCATGAGGAAAACTCCGAACTGTCTGATTTCCTCCCCCGCAGCACTCTGCTTGTCTCCTCACTGACTGTCCCCTCCTCACACACACACATAGACACGTTTGTTCTTCTATCCTCATGGGGACTTTGCATTGACTTTCATTCATTTACCAGTATTTTCTTTTACCATTTGACCCTAAACCTAGCCTACACTTTACATGGGATGTGAACTGGGCTTATTTCCCCATAAGAAACAGTGGGTCCTCACCAGGCTGTGTGGTTTGCTTCATCTCTAAAGAGATGCTGCTCTTTAATATTGTTTATTTACTGTCTTAGTTGTGTGTGGTGTTTACATTTTGTTGTTCTTTGKTTTTTTTTATTCAAGTGCATTTTTGTTAGACTGAGAGTCCACTTTGTTAAACATTCTTTAAAAATTAAAGTTTATTGATTTATTACACTTACATATTACGCTTTTATAATTATTAGTTGTAAAATGGTCACCAGGCAATATTATCGCTTATCGCAATAATTTGTGAGACAATTAATCGCCCAGCAAATTGGTTATCGTGACAGGCCTAATGGAGGCTGTTGTTAAAAATGTCAGATCTATGTACGTATTTAAGAGAATGATAAAAGTTAGTTTTTTGAAGAATTATTTAATAGCATAATGTGAATTACAACCAGTGATGTAAAAAGTACAAAGAGATACTTTAGTAAAAGTAAAAGTAAAAGTATCTTACAAAATAATTACTTTTGTAAAAGTTAAAGTCTCCTTTAGGAATTCTACTTGAGTAAAAGTCTTAAAGTATCTGATATTTTTGTACTTAAGTATTAAAAGTAAAAGTATTGATTTAAAATGAGCTGTCAGATTTTCTGTAATGACATTTCGTAGAAGGTGACCTGTCTCCAAAACAAAGCAGAAATGACTTTTGTATTAAAATAGTTAATATATATTAAATTTAGGATGCACTAGTCCAATTGTTTCAGTTTATATACATATATCAAGGCTGCACAAACCTTTTCTAAAATGAAAATCTATCTGAGGGCTGCAGCCAAATGCAATTATATAWTKCATGAAATACWAATACTTCTTAAGTACAGTCCTTTYATTTTAATGATTATGTCCTGCTGGAGTGTGACATGATTCGTTTGTGTACAAACTAATACGGTATCAGAATTTTATATATTTATACTTCTCATTCAACCACAAGTAAATTTGCTCTATCTAGGAGGCACAGTTTATATGGATAGTATTTATTTTTTTACAATAACAAGCTGGAATGAAAACAATCAAAAATTAAATAAAAGTAACAATTTTCTACTTCTTGCCTTTTTTTAAAAAAAATGTAAGGAGTAGAAAGTACAGATAATTGTGTGAAAATTTAAGAAGTAGAAGTAAAAAGTAGGCTGAAAAATAATTACTCAAGTACAGATACCCCAAAATTCTACTTAAGTACATTAACAAAGTATTTGTACTTAGTTACTTCACATCTCTGATCCAAACAAATTGTTGGAGTTCATGTTGCTTTTGTTTAGTTTTGTTTCTTTGTAAGTCATTATTGTTTGAATATATTCTTGGGGAAAAAAGAGGCAGTTATGAGTTTTTTTCTTCCTTCTGCTGCCTTTCATTTTATTAAGTGTAGATTTTTCTTCTGTTGTGTATAGTKATTGTTTTTAATGAAATAAATATATTTCTAAATAAAAAATACAATAAAATAAAAATTACATGGTTGATATAAAATCAACCAAAACCTCTTTTAAATGACATATATCTGCAAAGTGAATTGTAGTAACAAATTGATATATATGGAAGCAGAGAGCGGACGTTTTCCATATATATTTTTTTTCCATTGTTTGTTCTCTCAGAATAAYGATGAGCCTTTTCTCGAGTTGAGTTAATTTACCGATGGTTTTCTCGATAACGAGTTATGGTTTTCCTCTTGTGAATCATTCCGTAWGCATGGAGATGTCCTGGTCCCTTCAGCTAGTCAAATAATAAAATAAATGATAAAATAAAAATAGTAAAGTCAAATAAAAGTTTAAGTGTAAACACCTGTTGATTTACAGTCGGTCCAGCAGTCTCCTTTAACGATGAGGGCTGATATGAAAGTTATCTGTACAAAGCAAACAGGTTGCAATTTCATCCTGTGATCAATGTGTTCTCTATAATCTGACATTTTCAGCTTGAGTTTATTCTTGGCAAGGATTTAAGAACACCGAGAAACTGATCTTGATCATTCAAGAAAAAAATTWATATTGTTATCTCAAGAAAAACGGTCATAGTTATTTCATGACAGCAACATAAGTAACTCATTCTAATTTGAAAAAAAAAACATGGAAAAACTTGCTGGTTTTCCATAGATATAGCAGATATCTACGGAAGCATTTATGTTTTGAATAATGATGTCATTTAAAATAAAGTCTGACTAGTCAGAGCTAAAAGTGAGATATTTTGAAAGCAAATAATGACTCAGCAAATCTAACATAGCGACACCTCAAACTGTATTTTTGGCTAATCATAATTCCCTTTAAGGCATCTGGAATTGGAGCCTCCATACAGCCTAAAAGGAAATCTGAGACAGAATGTAATTACAGATATTTTAAATAACCAATATGCCATAAATTAGTTTCGATATCTGGAAAGTACGTGTGGTGATGATCTGATTTTATGTTAAAATGGCCTGCCATACTGGCTGAWGTCATTGTGGAAACATACTGCTGACCTATAGATTGTGGTAAGAATGCAGGCGAGCAGCTCAGGTACACAAAATAACAGGAAAAGCTATTATTATGATTCTTTTCACACAGTGTGCTGAAATTTCTGGATGGGGTGGCATCTGTTTGAGTTTTTCACTTCCAGAAAAAACAAACAAACAAAAAATATAATAAGAAAAAGAATGTTGTCTTGACTCATACCACCAACACTTCAGAATTCACAGTAAGGCTCTGCATTGTAGAGGAAAAATAAAAATGATAATAATAATGCAGTGATTTTGATTTTAGTTTCATTGACCACTAAAGATAAWTTCAGTCCTGGAATCAATTTTCCCCCAGGTAGCAGAGCCTTGGGTGAAATATTTTGTGCTTTTATTGTTGAAAGTGATGAAAACGTTCAGTAAAGAAAAGTGGCAGCAGCAAATAACTGTTTTTCTGCTGCATTTATAGGTTTAAAAATAATCTAATATTTCTCTGTATTTCTGCTGCTTTTCTTCCTATCAGTACTACAAGCATTCATATTATTTCACTAACCCGAGTGTGTTCATGTCATTTCTGCGTAGGTTTGATGTTAAAATGAATTCTCACACATGAAGATTGAGAGTTTCCTTTTGTCGGCAGGCTTTCTGGAAAGAAAAAGGTTTCTCGGGGGAAATCGTGGCGGGGTCTTCCAGCAACAGCCCCTTCTGCGTTACCTTTGACGCCACCAGCCCACGTGGGAATCCGGCTCTGGTGGGGTTTATTGCGGGCCAGCAAGCTTCCCGTTGGGGTCCTAACGAGGTATGTGAATACATAAAACTAAAAAAGGACACCACAAATTCTTTTAAGGAGTTTTCATGTAGAAGAAGCTCTAAAAACCATTCTGAACCCCTGTTTAAAATATAGACCAAGTGTCCCTATGACCTTATATTAGACTGACAGACTAACTTTGCCACCATCTGAGTTTGAGCACAAGGGATTCTTGGTAATAAAAACTGCTTAAATTATTTTCCACTAACCATACACTTTGATGAAACATAAACTAATACCAGAAAATTGGTTTACTACAATAACTGAAGATGCAACCAAGATATGTATTGGGTTTTTGTAGATGTTTTGTTATTTTAACTTCATCAATTTTCTTGTATGAAGCTTGAGAAATGTGTCGGTTCAATAAAACTAGAATGCTAATAATGCTAAAATGAGTAGATATATTTACAATCAGTCTTATAATGGATGGTTTGGAACACTTGAATCATGTGTAAAGATGAAATATTTGACCAAAAATCCTCGTCTTCAATCAAGCCATAGTTTACCAAATAAAATCTGGATTTCTTTGCATCATAGTGTTTCATTTGATTCTTCTGCACATTAAAGGGTTGGCTTTGTTTTTATTACACGTGGAGCCGAGGACTGCATAATGTCCATTGTCTGACAATGTTCCTTTAGAATATCACATCCTTGACTGGGAAGGAGCTTGTATCGACACAACAGTACATCCATACCCTGGTCCCCACGATGCATATTCAGTCCCCACAAGGCTGCCTTTTTCTGGAAAATGGTTCCCACGATGTAGCAAAAACACACACATCCTTGTATTTGCATCAAACTGAGGACTTTATATTGACTTCCAGTCATTTTAGTAACTGCATTCGTGCCTAACCCAGACATTTTCCCTAATCCTAACCAGACATTACTAGTCTATTCCTAACCCCTACCTGAACCAAAACCTAATTCACACCAAACCTAACTAGTAGAGCACAGTAGAGCTGCAAAAAAAGTGAGGATCGAAAAAAGGTCCTCACTTTGATAGTAACTACAGTATTTTGCAATTGATCCTTACTCTGTATGAGTTACAAGCCCACACACATGCACCAAGATACAATATTAAAACATTTGAAGTGTCATCTGCATACAGCTGATCTGAGACATTACAGGACTGCCAAACTTTGGTTAATTAGAACATTTATAGGGTGTATTCAGACCAGGAAAGTCCTTTGGTCCAATTGTTTGGTCCGGACCAAAAATGGACTTTTTTTTCGTTTGGTGCGGTTTGCATTCACATTGTGCTTTTTTGCAAATGAACTATAACTTGTAAACAAAGCCATGAGTGTGACGATCATTGCTCCCATTGGACAAAAAAAGGACGGGGGGCAGGACTGAGCCACAGATCCAGAAGAAAACAAGGAAGTCCTGCATGCTGTGGTTCTGATGCGCACATTTTTGCTGATAGTACAACTGCAATAGCATTTAAAATGTCAGAAGCAGCTAATTTAATGGTGGTTCCGTGATGATATTCTAATTTTGGAGCGGTGTCAGTAAATGTGTCCCGCAACCCAAAGGAGACGAGGTGCTCTGTGTGTTCTGACCCACAACATGCTGGCAGTAGAGCTGCTAACAGGAGACGACGTAACATGTATGATTTCAGTTTATTAAGCTCAGCAATGGTGGCCTGTGAAGTCCAAAAAGGTGCATGTTTAATGCAGTTGGTTCGGTTAGAGTCCGGTCTGTATTCACACCAGAAGCAAACTGAAGCGAACCGCACCAGAGTTYGTTTGGAAGCGGACCGAGACCACCTCAAAAAGCAGGTCTCGGTCCGGTTGTTTGATCCGCACCAGAGTTCGCAGGAGTGTATTCACACCTGCACAAAAGGTCCGGACCAACGCTGGAARCGAACTCTGGTTCGTTTAAAGCAGAGCAAATTATTAGGTCTGAATACGACCATACAGTAGAAAGAATAACAGACGTCCAAGAATTGAGCCTTGTGGCACCCCACATGAGAGTAGAAAAGTTTTTGATGTGTTTTTGATACAGAATACTTTCTATGTTGAAGATGGGGTTTAAACCAGCTCAAAGCTGGGCCAGAAAAAAACAAACAAACCAGTGTTTAAGTCTGTAAATTAATAGATTATGGTCAACTGTGTCAAACGCAGCAGTCAGGCCAATATCACATACCGTAAACAGAGGCTTCGTCAAAATCTAAGTTAAGACTGTCATTCAAACCCTTTATGCAATCTCTGTAATATAATAAGGCCTAAATCCAGACTGTAAGATGTCAAGATATTTATTCACTGCTTAAGATTTTGTAATTTGGACCAGGTGCTTTTTGTCCATAAGGTGTTGCATAAAATCTATAGAGTGGATTTATGTTTGTTATGAATTTAAAGTTAAATGAAAATTCAAAAATAGAGATGTGATTATAATAGCCTGTATATTTATAAAAAGATAATAGAATAACCACTCACTACAACTAAATGTACTAAGTGAAAAGTAATTTTCTTGTTTTTATTTGTGTAAATTATTCTCAGCTACAGCTTTTGTGTCAGATGATTACAGGCTTAAAATCTTTTTAAACATGTTCCCAGGGATTATGTTTGTATTGAACATCCTCTGCCAGCATTTCCAGCTGGAAACCTTTGATACCTTCTACACTTTCAGCACACAAAGCTTACAAACACTTACACATGCCTTTTCTTCTGTAGTGACATTTTTAGCTCATCATTGTGCTTTTAATTTGTACAAAGACAAAAGGGAAAAAAATCCAGCATTGTCTCTGATGAAGTTTTTTGGCATTTGAGTTGTTTTACTTGACTTGCTACAAAGCTGCAGAGCTGTCGCCCTGTAGAGCCACACTTTTTAAATAATTAACCTCCGCTTTCTGCTTTGCTTCCAAACACAGAGAAAATGTGTTAACATGGGATGCGAGTGGACGTAAAGGTTACAATTACACTCAGTGTGTGCTATTTCAATAAAATGTGGTTGCTAATATTAGATGTAATTTTTACAGGCTTGTGTATATAGTTGGAATTTTAATTTCTGGCTGTTTTAGTCTGGAATAATCGAGTTAAACCCTGTTTATGATTTAATTTTAGATAAGTTTTAGTTAATAAGAAATACCTCAGGTTTCCCAAGTTCTTCCGTCTATTACATGTTAAATAGTTTATTTTACAGATTTTCCGCTCAAGACCAAAGTGTGAGATAAGCRCAGCTGGACTTGCCAATTAAAATATGTGTCACCATGTTTGTTGGTGATTTATTTTGTTTTTATTTTATTTGTTTAGTCCTCAGACATCAGCTGATGTGTTTGAAGCAGAAGCTGAAACTATTCAGATTTATTGCTGTTTTGTGTCTCTTTTTAAAACCTATAAAATGAGCAAATTATAAGTAAATTTTTCTTATTCATATAAAATAAACTAATCTTTTGATGCGGACCTGAATAAAAAATATATTTTTTAGATAACCTTCAAACTACAACATCACATCAGCACTGAACTTAAGTCTCATATTCTCTGAGGTCAAAGTTTTTGTTTGCCAGAGGACCTATGCAGCTGTGAGCACAGCAAGAAAACAGTAAATAGAGATCTAGTACTAAGTGCTTTTATTTTCAACAGTAAGATAAAAGAACTCGAGGACATTTAACTTGAAGATTTGAGCAGCTCATCAGTCATTTTAAGCCTTTATTTACTTGTCTGGCAGGTCTGATCATCATATGCTAATTTAAAGTTAGGCACATTTATGGACAGCTCAGTGATCATAGACCAGTCCTGGTCTTTGAGGACCTTTATGTGGGTGGCCGTGACAGAGTGGTTTGGAGATGTCCTGTAAGCAGTGGGTTGCTGGTTTAATCCTCCATCCCATCTGTCTCAGTTGTTGTGTCCTTGGGGAAGACACTTCACCCGTCTTGCCTGCTGCTGGTGGTCAGAGGGTCCGCTGGCACTGGTGCATGACAGCCTCGCCTCAGTCAGTCTGACCCAGGGCAGCTGTGGCTACATCGTAGCTTACCACCATCAGTGTGTGAATGTGTGAACATCTGTAGTGTGAAGTGCTTTAGACTCTGTAGGGACTTCATAAAGTGCTATAGAAGTTCAGGCCATTCACCRTCTCTCATGTTTCTGTTGTTTTCTTGCTCTTCAGCAGGTCCTCGAGTTCTCTAGAAGCCTTTTAATCGCTTTTTTTATTTAAACCAGGTGTGCTGAAGCAGAGAAACATCTAAAACATGCAAGGTAGTGGTTCTTGAAAACCAGTATTGGGGACCACTGTGTATGCTATGTTTCAATTCAGGGATTGCAGCCCACGTAGSCTGCTGGTATCGGCTGCATAAAGGGCTGTGAAATGAGATGTGCCTTCAAAATTCATGTTACATGTAAATAAATAGAAAACATTATTTGGGTTTAGCTCTAGTTTCAGCACTGGTAATTGCATTTTATTTAGCATCTCGTTGCAGCTTGAATTTCATCAGAAACACTGCTAAACTTACATTTGAAAATTAAGTAGTCGGTCAGTAGGGCTGCCACAAATGATTATTTTTATAATAGATTAATCACCGATTATTTTTTCGATTAGTCGACTAATCGGATCGTACGTTAATTGAATATAAAACATACAGCTTATCGCGCCAAAATGCAGCTGCTATTATATAACCATCGTTAGATTTT